TTCAAGCTTCCTCATTCATTAATTTTTGAAACTGGACATTTTCAAGCCACACCTCCTCTCTTCTCTCCTCGGAGAAATAATGGTGTGGCTTGAAGTAAGATTCTCCCCCAGGCTAGATGAAGTCAAGGTTACTCTGGCTTGATCCTGTCCTCTTGGCTGCTGTCTTGGGTTACACCATTAAATGCAGACTTTTTACCAGTTTTTGTGGTTTTCAATGTGTGTGTAGAATTCTCTTCAGGTTCTATCCCCTTACTCCTTTAATTGTCCCATAAATATAGACACCATAGTGTGTACTTGGTGACAACCAAAGGGGACAACATTGGTTTAACTTTCTCCAGAAGGGCACCAGTTCTGGAGTTCTCACAGTCCAGAAGTTAATTCCTCAAAGAGACATTCATTCCAATTGCAAGGACTGGGGTGGAAGCAGGGCAGGGAAAAGGTCTCAGAGCAAACTTCACCATCCTGAACATACCAATGCTGTAGTCGATGGCTCCCCTTTTCCACTTGCCAGGCTAGGTTACAAACTTACCTGTGTGTCGTAATGCCAGGTGATTAGGATGTCCCAGTTCAAAGGTCATTCTTCACTACCACCCATAAGGATTCTGCATATTTTAACATAAAATGTCTACCTAGAAAGAAGCAAAGCAGAGAATGAATATAACTGCATTTATTTCTTTAAACTAAGCTTCAGTAAGAAATGTAGACAACTGAGAGTAGCTTAAACAATAGTAACTGCTAACATATGTGAAATTTCTGTAAGAAGAGATTGTTTCCATTATAATATTATTCTCTGACACCCTTTTTTTTTCCCTTTTGAGGAACTGATTGAAGCTTGATTTTAGATATGACATTTTTTTTTCTCCCTTGAAAGTAACTGGGTGGCAGGGTACAGTGAATCTGCTATGAATGTTGTTGAGACATGTGAGAAGGGAGAGATTCAGATGGAATACACAATTACAAGTTTCTTTAAGTCCAATTTCATTGTGCTTTTACACATCTGGATAATTAACCAAGCATTACATTCTCTCTAGACTATTTTTACAAGTACAATATGCTTCTAACATGATTTCCATTAGGCTGTTCCAAACATCATTTAAGAACGCAGAAAGATTGCAGACCATGATTCAAAACCACTATTCAACTGTGGTGTTGAGACCTTTTTCTCTCATGGGAGAAATAAAAGATTGAGAACTGAATTCTAAGCTCCTTCTGATGTAAGAGGAAAACTGGAGCTTTATTGCTTCTTTAAGCTCCAGCAAATACAAGCATCTACAAACACACTCTAATGTCTCTGGTCTGTATTGTCTGAGGTGAGCTCAGAATATGGCATTGGGGGGTGGAAGGTGGGGGTGGGGAATGAACCAAACAAGAACAGAGCTGGAAATTGCAGCTTGAACAAGAAGGACAGACTAAAATCCCAATGGATAACCTCGTTAGAATTATTGTGTTAGATAAATAGGTTTGTCTGGCTAGGTTCCGCATTTGAAAATCACTGCTGAATTCTAAAAGAATATGTGTTCAGATAGTTTCGGGCGCACTCTGCTTCTTCCCTTTTATAATACCTTTGATGCTGCTCCCAGCTTTTATGATGCCAGGGTCTGATCCCAAGGAAGGTTAGTGTTAATTCACAGGCTTCAGGGGCTTTGCTGGCCAGCTGCTGCCCACATTGGTGAACACCAGTGAGAGATCAGAGAAACCACAGGACTGATAGTTGTGGTTGCTGTTGTTCTCTTCATTGTTAAGGGCTGATCTCAGAACAAAAGAAACAAGAGTTCCCAAAATTATAGGATCACATCTATAAGTACTAAGAGGTCAGATAGTCCCTTTATTAATCCAACAGGCAACCACACCTAAATTCTCCACCCCTTGAAAATAGGCAGGCGGTTCTATACTACATCTTCAGAAAAAGGAAAACTAGGTAAAATAAAACATACTTGATTTATTGTCTGGATGTTTTTTAAAATGCTGTGGTGGTCAGAGAATTGTTAAATTGGGAAATAAGTAATTCAGGAAGAATAAACAATTCTAATCGTGCAAGAAAAAAAATAAAGTCTCAACAAGGAGAATGGAAATAATTGAGATTTCATTATAAGGTTTCAGTATCTGTTTTCCATAAAATAATCTTACAATTTTCTACTGTGTGACAGCCTGAGTCACTCCACCAATGGAATGATGAATGAAAACGGCAGCGAAGGATTTGTCACACTGACACAGGCCAAGGAAGTGGGGGGTAGCCATTAGAAAGCAAAACGTATAGTAACACCATTCTTGTTGGTTAACTGAAATGAACTGGGCATTGAGGAATCGGTTTTGAATGTGGTGGGAGTCTTGCTGTTGTTATCCACATGGCCAGCTTGGCAAGTGTGTGGTAGATAAGCCCATAGTTGGCCACAGCTTGCAGGATGGGGCCGGGGTGGGGTGGGAGGTTGGGGGGGAGGGCGGTGCAGTGGCAAAACCAGAGAGCCATAACCTATTCCAGGATCATTGACTGAAATGTATTTTGATTTGAAAAACAAGGGGTGTGGAGGCAACCACACCTGAAAAAATGCCAGCTAGGCCTGTGACTACAAAGCCCCAGACTCTTGCTCTCATCATTGTAAGAGGGAAAATGATGTTAACCTTACACTGGAACAGAATAAAGTAGGTGAAATAGCCTAATTTAGAATAAATGTTCAGAAATTGAGGGATTGTTTCCTACTTAATTTTCTGCCTGGATATATCCCAGATACATATGATGATAGCTAAGGGGAAGATGTCATAGAAATGTGGATGTTTTATACATATGTCATCGCTACCTACATAGCAATCAAAATATGTACATATCTTTTCATTTCAGAAAGAGTCAAAAGAGATGTTTTATTGACAATTGAATGATCCTAGCACTGCAGACTATTTTTTTCAGTATTTGTATTAACTACTAGTAGAGAAAAAATATTTAAAAGTAGTGTTACGTAAGTTATTCGTTTATCAAACATGTTTTTGTGGACTTACTATGTGTCAGGCAATGTATCCATTGTAGGAATAATAATTATGTAATGGTAAACTTTGATTTATCACACTTGAGTCATTTTCCATAATCATTATCAAAAGATATTAACTTGAAAAGGCAAGTTTTGTGTTTAAATTTATCTAGGTTACCAAGAAACGTTTCAACTTATAGAAATCATGGTGCTAGAATATGGATATCTGGGGAAGAGCATTTAAGTGTTAGGAACAGTTACTGAAAAGGTCCTGGTGGATGGAATTATAGGCACCAATTATGATTGTGTCCTAGAGGGGCTGGAGAGGAATGTACAAGAGGGTAGTAGGGGATAATGTCAGTGAAGGAACCCCATAGTGTACTGATATGTTACGCCTCCCAAAAAAGCATTTTGCTTTTACTCTGGGATAGATGGGAAATCGTTAAAAGGAGTGGCATGATCTGATTTATGTTTTAAAGGGCCGCTGTCTTAAAAATAGACTAGACAAGAGTAAGGGCAAAGATAGAGGGCCATTTAAGAGGTTACTGCAATGATCCAGGGGCGAGAAGATGGTGACCTGGAACAAGGTGATGAAATGGGGTGTGAAAAGATACTGGATTCCAGACATATTTTCACAGAACAGGTAGCGTTAATGAGGCTGGCTCATGGCCTTTTAGGGAGTGTGAGAAAGAGTGATGTAAAAAAATGGCACCAACAGTTTTGGCCTGAACACTTAGAAGAACAGAGTTAGCATCAACCAACAAAGAAGCTGTAGATATGGAACTTCATTTTGAGTGTTTGAGGTTTAATATTGGACATACAGGTGGAGATACAAAGAAATAAACCTTTTGATGAGAAAAAAACAACTATTTTTAGACATTACTGAACCAATGGTAGCTTTTATCAGCATAGTCTAAAAGCAAATTTATTATGTTCGTCGAGGGGAACGGTGTCCTCAAAATATTTTGAAATTGAAAAAGAACCCTATGCAGGAAAAAATGAAAACAAAATAAAGTTTCAAGACAATTTTAGTGGCCAATCAATATTGTTTCCCCTGTCCTTAATACTTGGAGACTTCAGGGCCTCACTGGTGGCGCAGAGGTTGAACACTGGGCTAAGAAGCTGCCTGCAGCCTCTGCAGCACCGGTTTAATCCCCGGCCCCCAGCGAGGGTCCCAAATGGCACGTAGACCCCTCCTGCCACGCCTGCTGCTCCCCTCAGCAGTGTACTTCGGTCCTTCTGCCTGCTCTGCTCCCTGCTCTGGCTCTGGTGAATTCTCTCACCCTCCCACGCTTCTGACTGTACCCAGTGCTTGTATAAATTAAAAAAAAAAAACTTGGAGACTTCAAATTTTGCACATTGTATATATTTTGAAATCTTAATTTTGGCACTGAGAGTTTTCTCTTTTTGAATAAAGCTTTTATTTTTTAAAAAGATTTATTTATTCATATAAGAACTGGGATACAGGGCAGAGGTGTGGGGGGTGAGAGGAGGATTCACCAGAGGCAGAGTGGGGAACAGAAAAGGCAGGCTGACAGAGATACACTGCTGAGGGGGGGAGCAGCAGGCGAGTCAGGAGATATCTGCTGTGCCATGTGGGCTGCTCCCTGGCTGGGGATTGAACTCGTGCTGCAGTGGCTGCAGATTGCTTCATAGGTTGAGTCTTAACCCCTTGCGCCACCAGGAAGGCCCTGAATAAAGCTTTTAATGGAACTTTCTGGTAAGAAAAATCCTCTTAGTGGTGAAATTGTGTTCACTGGTCCATGCTATTTTATTTTGGAAAGAAATTACAATATTTTTTACTATGTGTTCTTTTATTTTTGTGCACTGAGTTTTGACTTTCTTGTCACTTGATACTATCAGAAACAGCAAAAGAAGTGAGAGACGGAAGCTTTACTATTGTGGGATTTATAATGTGAAGAAATAGGTAATATACTTCATGTGGAAATACTGCTGTTCCCTTGTTATTTAATTAACTTAAACATGTAAGCTTATTAACATCAATTTGTGATGGTTCATTTTGACTTTTACCCTTCCCAGTCTTATGCAGGGAAATACGTACCTGCCATTGCACACTATATCCACATGCTCAACCCCAGAATGGAGCTGAAGATCAACCTGAAAGGAATTGCCCTTGGAGATGCTTATTCTGATCCTGAATCTGTAGGTGTCTCTTTATTTCTATTTTGTTCCTTTAGGAGATTAAGTCCCCTCTGATCACATGACAGACCCCTCTCGCTTTAAGATCTTTCCTCAAGACCTAGCTTGATAAAAGATACTTTTGCCCAGTTGACTTTCTAATGACTACTGTCTTCTAATTGTTCCCAAAAGTTTTAAGATGTCAGTAAGCTGTTTGTGAGCACAAGTGTGTGTGTGTGTGTTGGGTTTTGTATATGTGTGTATATGTTTTATGTGTTGTTGTGTGGTATGTGTTTGTGTTTCTTTTGTAGGTGTGTGTTTTGTGTGTTGTGTTGTGTGTGTGTGCATTGGTGTGTTGTATATGTTTGTGTGGGTATGGCTGTCTATGTTATTTGTGTGTTGTGTGGTATGTGGTTTGTGTATGTGTAAGTATCTTGCTTGGCTACTTTCAGCACAAGATCAACAAATTGCAAATTACAATCACCAAGTAAACTGGCTTCCCTAATGTCTCTCTTTCTCTCCTTGTGGCATTTGCATTTTTCTGTTTTCTCCTCAGATCATAAGGGGTTATGCCGCATTCCTATACCAAATTGGCTTGTTGGATGAGGAGCAAAGAAAGTACTTCCAGAAGCAGTGTGATGAGTGCATAAAATACATCCAGGAGGAGAAGTGGGCTCTTGCCTTTGAAGTGAGTTGGGGGGTGGGCTGCTTTGCCCTACAACAATGAGAACCATCTGAGGGGGTCCTAGGAGCTGTGATGCTCAGGCTGTTATTGTTGTCATTAGAGAAGGTCTTGCTGCCCAAGAGCAGGAGGTGACATGAGTAGACTGGTAATGAAGAAAAGAACTGTCCCTGTTTCTTTGAATTTACTTTGGCTATATTTTCAACCTGAGATCACCTTGGGGTGTTTATTGAACTGTGTCTTTCATTAACTGTTTTGATTTCCTTAAATGCTGTGTAGGCCCTAAAGGCAGACCCTATCATAAGGAAATCAGAAGAAAGGCGACCTAGAAAGTGGATGCATATGCTTCAACATATGCGCTAAGCCTTTCAAAAGTGCGCTACCCACACACAGCATTTCAGCTGGAAATGACCACCGAGTGTAACAAATGTCACATGTTCCTGTGTGTCAAGAACAAAGAGTATAAAGTGTGGTAATTTGAAACTTTTACAGAGAACCATTGGCTTTGTAAATACTATTACTTTGCTCTCCTAAAATTGAGTTTGAGAATCGAATAATATGATAATATTCTTCACACACACCCCATTTTTGGTTGTTATTTAAAATGTAAGACTATACAGACTATTAGGATACAGGAAGTTGGGTTTTTGCCAACACAGACAAAGATCTTGTGAAAATCTTACTTAGGGGGATTTTCCACCATTACTGTAGAGCCATTGTGTTTGACACATTAGTAAATGCAGCAAGGATTGAATTTTGAGGACTTTAATCTTTTTGTTATTGGAAGCACATCCTGTAACAGTTTGCCTAATGGCATTATTGTTCTATAAGGCCTGATATTAATAGTCTTCTAGGTACTGCAGGCCAGCCTGTTCAGATCAAAAACAGAAGACATATAAACATAAACTTAGGAAGGGGGGGTACCACAAAGTTATGTCCACCTTCAAGGAGGATGTTAGGGCACTATGTGAAATTTCCCAAGGCAGTGACTGCCCTTGCTGTGAATTCTGATAGTGGCAAGTTGTGCAAATAGAGAGCACAGGGAGCTCCCAGCCATCCTGCAGGGTGCTAACAGGCTCCCCTTTCTGTGTCAGGACACCAGATGTGACTGCTGAGTGTGGATTCAGAATTTCTTGTGCAATTGTGAATGCATAGGAAGAGGGATCTTATTGGGGACATAGAGGATCATTCTTTGACTTCAATGACAGTATTCTCAAGGCAGGTTTTATGCTGTCTGCTATGAGAGACAAAGAGTGTAAGAGGAAGAAAGCTTTAAAATTTAGAATTAAAATCAAATTTTGTGTCACACAAGAACAGTCTACAAGTGAGAGATTTGATGCATTTTTGTATCAGGGATTAGTAGTGTCAAGAGTAAGAATATTTGATCGGCCCAGAGAGATGAAAAAGCAGAAAGATGTCTGAGGTACATGGTGGAGCAACTGAAGCACTAGAAGGATGAATGAAATTGTTGAAATGTTCAGACATTTTGTATATTCAGAAATAAGGAAAAGACGGTCTGTGAGGCTAAATAGTCTCTCCCCAAACCTGATTCATCTGAAAAAAAGAAGAAAGAAAAAAAACACAGACCAAAAAAGCTGCCCCCAAACCTTGAAGGTGGTAACAGTGTTACCTGTGAGCATTGGCCCAATATTTTGAGTGATAAAACATAAAGCCCTTGCTTTTTCAAAGGAAATAGAGAAAATTACTTAAGAAAGTTAACAACTAGTGGTGGTAAAATGTGTTTCAACAAATGCAAAAAAAAAAAAAAAAAAAAGCTGAAGTTCCACAGAATACAAAAGTCAAAATCATAAAGCACACAGTATTTTCTCCTATAGTAATTTTCTGGCATTTTGTAAAAATCAAGTATATCTTTGCAATTCTGCAGGAAGTCTGATCTTTGTATTGTCTTCCTAACTGTGACAATGTCCTGGGTCACAGAGTTGCTTTGAGAAACAAATTTGGATCAGAAACTAGAATTCACAGGACTTGACCATATACCTTATTTGTTTGACAGCAACTGGTTTGTTATTTTTGAAATTAAATCCATTCCTAAAGGTTGAATTTGTATTCCCAATGATGAAGATAATTTCTAAAAACAAATTCCAAAAATGCTGCATGCATTAGGGACCACTGCTAGCATTCAGTGCCCCCTTTGGGCAAACAGATTCAAAAAAGACACCTCCTCTGGGCTGACACAGTTCTGTGGGTTTGGGGTTTGGCGAGCAGATACCACTACTGTGTGAGTATAAAAGGCGGTCATTTCTCCAGTCTGGCGAGAATGCTAAGTCCCCTGTTCCCTCTCACCCTGCAGCCAGGCAACCCCATATCATGCATTCTGCACAGTCAGGTGCAGTGGCCCTGAGCAACGTTTGCATCGCTAAAGTTCCCTGCACCCACCTTTCCATACTGACGATCCTGTTAATATTTGCTCCCTAACAGCATGCAGTAGTGACCTGGATAGATTCCTTCATGTTTGAAAACTAAAAGTATTCTAATAAAATAGTGAGACTTCATATTAAACCCAAAAGCATGACCACAAGAAATTGAAGACCAGGAGACACCGTGGTCTATTACTGAGAAGCCTGTGTGTGTGTGTGTGTGTGTGTGTGTGTGTGTGTGTGCACCTATTAGCTAGAGAGTCTTGGCCTGGGTTTAAATCTCACTTCTGAAATAATTAGTGAGACATCCTTGGCAAGTGACTTAACCTTTATATCCCTCAGCTTCCTCACCTGTAAGGGGGTAATAAGAAATACCTGATAGGAAAACTAAATTCATACTTAATATGTGGTTTTAAAATGTTCCAAACTTATTTCTTACAATCATTTCACCAGAGCTCTAAAACTTGATGTGCAGACCTTTCATCTTCTTGCTCTGCCCTGGAACTGCTTCTCCCAGAGGGTGCTGCTTCCCCTGCGATCCTCTCAAGTGGGAGCTCTTGTCTCTCTTACCACTTTGTACTTTTAGTTAGTGTCACTGCCCTTCTTGCTCTCACTGCTGCTTCCAGATCGTGACCCTCCCTCCTAAAGCATCGAACTGTGAGTCTCATGACCTCACATGACAATGCACACTTGTTATAGTTAATCTGCACCCCCCAAACACACACACACTCACTCCCCATTCTCTGAATGTTTTAGCACTTGCCTTCCTGTCACACTCCATCATTTCTCTCGCTATCATTTCTGGAGATTGCAGTCTCCACGTTGGTGATTATTTTAATACTTGGTCCCTTGGTTCTTTAGCCTTCTCTTCCAGTGATCTTATTCTTCTCCTTACCTTATCTATTGATAATTCCCACTTTTTTAAAAGTCGATAGTGACTCTACAATTTTAAATGCAGACATTTTCCTTCAACTACCACCTCCCATCCTCCCTTTCACCTCTGTATATGTTTACCCACACTGATGTTTTCCATCTTTTCTTCCCCACCCTCCCAACCTAGGTCCTGGATAAACTACTAGATGGAGACTTAACGAGTGATCCTTCTTACTTCCAGAATGTCACAGGATGTTCTAATTACTACAACCTTTTACAGTGCACGGTAAAGACAGCATTTAAAGAACCATGATAGTGTTTGCATAAAATTTTTCCTACAACCAGACTTCCTCTGATTTGGGAAATATAACTGACTTTATATTAGACAAATATGTTGCATTAGTTGGTCTACTGATCTATAGGGTTTTCCCCATCAATGTTGTATACGTTAAAATTTGCTCATTAGGGGGCCTCCCTGGTGGCACAAGGGGTTAAGGCACAACCTATGAAGCTATCTGCAGCCACTGCAACATGTGTCCAATCCCCGGCCAGGGAGCTATCCAGATGGCACAGCAGGATAGCTGTCTCCCCACTGCTCCCCTCAGCAGTGTATTTCAGTCAGTCTGCCTGTTCTGCTCCCCACTCTCTCTGGTGAATCCTCTCACCCCCCACACACACCTCTAGCCTGTACCCCAGTTCTTGTATGCATAAATAAATAAATCTTTAAAAAAATCAGTTCATTAGAATGTGTGATATTCTAGATAACTCAAAACCATTTCAGATTTACACTATTTTTCCCCAGTAGAGCTTGGTATACAGAGGTTCTTTTGTGCAGGATGGAGGTCAGGTTTGCATTCTGGGTGTCAGGTCCCAGAGCCCAAGCCTGTAGTGAGATTCTTGAAAATGCTGGAATTATTTGTTCTGTACTTAAGACAACTTGGATAATCAAAACAGCCAAAGCCTTTATGAAAATATTTGCTTTGTCTTACTTTTAACTTAAGATGTTTTGTGCATTTAATATGGCCCTCAATTCAAGCTCTCTGGAATATTTCTCAAAGTACTCAAGTAGTTTCTTTCATAAAAGTGGGTCAAAGTTGATGCCTTTTGTGTAGAATTAATCAAATAAGACAAAGGGAGCCAAATGAGGATTTGAATTTGTATAATCTTTGTCTAGTGTATATGACAAGACATTCTGATTTTCAAATGCCTTATTTCTGAACTACTTTGTAAATAAGATGTAAAAACTAATTTCAGTGGAATTCAGCAACTCTGTGGTTTTGGCTTTAGAGCCTACCAACACAAAAACATGTGGGAGGCAAGAGAGAAACAAAATTTGTGATCACTTTTTTTCTTTACAAATCGGTGTATTCACAGTAAAAATTCATGATGTACGGCTTTTGAGTTTAAACTCTAAACGTTCTTTACATCTTTTTGTGGCCTTTTAAAACATCATTTATTCCTTTTTCTTTTAATGTAAGGAATATTATAGAGACTTAATTGCAGATTTCCTAAATATATGGCTCATGGACAACTTTTCATCTATGTCCTTCATAAATTAATCATCTGTTTTTACATTTGATGTGTTTTCCCCTTCTAGTTACTGTGTTTGTTTTAAATAAACAACAGACCATGGAAAAGAAATCCTCAGCTTTTCATCCACCGCTCCACCATTCTGGCCCCATCTGGTCCCTTTACCTTCTTTCCAGGAAGGAAATTGAGTTTGATAATCTTTCCCTGTCTTTGCCTTGATTAGGGATGCTCATTGGAGACACTGATTGCAAAAGATAGTTTCCAAAAAAGGAAAATCCAGCACTTACAAATAGTGTAGAGATCTGAGATTGTTGTATCATCAGCATTAGTTGTTAGTAAAATTTACATTGCCTCTAAACCCCCAAAGTAAAATTTTCAGGGTGGGGACCAGTTAATAGTAATGTCAGAGCTAACTTGTTCATCATGGCATAGGAGCTAAGTGTATGTATAAGCATATTTGTTACATATACATGAATATCAGTGTGTGTTATTACATGAAATGTGAAGCTATTACCATTGCCTAGTCGTGTTTCCTAACATCTTTCTGATGTCCTCTTCTGCCAGGAACCTGAGGACCAAAATTACTATGGGAAATTTTTGTCCCTTCCGCAAGTGAGACAAGCCATCCATGTGGGGAACCGGACTTTTAATGATGGATCCGAAGTTGAGAAGTACTTGCGAAAAGATACTGTACAATCAGTTAAGCCATGGCTAACCGAAATCATGAATAATTATAAGGTACGATGGCTAACTTCAGTTACTCTTTTAGGAACCATTCAGATTACCCAGAATAGAGGTGATTTTCATTGTAATTTGACTCCTGCCATTTTTTTTACTTTTACTTTTTTGTTGTCTGATTTCTTTGAATTGAATGTTTTTTTTTTGGTCCTTCTAATTACATCACTTTCCCCTGACAATTCCTGAAGATGAATTCTCTTTGGCACATGCCACAACTCATCATTTTTTGAGAAAAGAAATATAGCAGAGCCAAGACTTTCCTTGTGAAAGCCAATTTTCTCTTTTTTGTTTGCTTTCTAATATTAATCCCAATGAAGTCAGGGATAAATGGAATCAACTGGTTATTCTGAAAATGCATTTTTGGATAATTATATTCATTTGGTTGCTCCATCATAGTTTTTTCAGTATCTGCTGTTAGCCAAACCCTGTGCTAGGCTGTCAGGTTGAAATGATGAATGAGAAAGGGTGACTGTTTTGAGGCTTGTAAAGTCAAACATTGTTATCTGCTTGAGATGTTCTGTCTGATCTGTAGCTTAAGGTTCCAAAGGGAAGTGGAAAGGATGGAAAGGAAAGGTGGAAAGGAAGCCCCAAAGGGTCAAAGGAGCCATGAGCTCTCATTGTGCGGGAAGACACCAAGAGCAGTTGGCACAGGGGAAAGACATCCTGCGCATTTCTTTCCCGCTCACCTCACCGTCTCCTTAGATCCTCCCAGGTTGTTACTGTTCGTCTTAAGCTGAGTCTCTGGGGCAACTCTTCAGGATAAGGGTGCTGATGGCAGAGGATACCACCATCTGAGGTGATCCACTCCCTCTTTGTCCTCTAATGTTGGAGATGAACAAAACACAGAACAGCCAGTAGCCAACATGCAGTATACCAATTACCAGCTCAAAGGCTATCTTTCACCTGTCATAAATATTGTCCTGATATACTGCTTTACTTGACTAAGACATCTTCCTGCCATTTTCTGGCACTAGGAATACACATTTCTACAATGTCTATGTTAGAGATAGTGTTCCTTGGGATTTTTCATAGATGAGGTCAGCATTTCAACCATCCTCATGCTTGGTTCTTTTGGAGGAATATAATGGCCTTTAGTGCTTACTTGCTTGAGATCTTCTCCGATACCTTCACAAAGCACTACTTTTTGTCCTCCTGTCTTCACACTATGTTGTTCTACTTCTCTGGTCATATTAAACACCCTGCCCTGCCATTATGGGCTCTTGTTCCAGCACCATCTGAGCAGATGTCAGCAACAAATGAATTTTAAAAAATCAACTTTTCTATAAATTATTGCTATACTAAAAATATATTTAGTAAACTTGTCCCTAATACATCAAGTATTTGTTATTCCCAATTTATTAACCCCAAAAGAGCTTAGTACTCATTTTTTCAAGCTATAAATAATGTGTTCTAATATAACATTAAGGAATGCAAGGTGATTTTCTTGAGTGGAGAGCAGGTAAGGAAGTTCCCATGTACATTTATCTGTGCCTCTGGAAGCTGTTTTCTTACTGTATAAATTTAACTAGAATTTTATTCCTTTCTCAATCAAGGGAGGATGGGGTGAAGCATATAGCTGCCCTGATTATTTAAACTTGCCTGATGCTCGTTAATAACTATAGAGTGTCCACTTGATTGATAAAGTAGAACATATTAATTAGAGATGATCTTGCATTTGAATATGGAAATATTTCTGTCCCCGTTGTCCATGGACCCTAAACTTAACTATATGAATTCCAATGAAATCAGAATTTTTTCCAAATTTTTTGATGCTGAATTAGTTAACAGAAAATGAGAATAGTTAATGGTACAGATGAACTATGTTTCCATGCACAAAGAGACATATGCAGACATTCAGACTGACTAGTCTGAATGCAGACCAAGAAAATGGCTGCTGCTAAAACAGGCTGCATTTTCATTGTTACAGCTGGCATAGCCCACAGGGCAGTGATTATCTTAGACTTGTCAGTTGGTGTTGGTGAACCTCAATGTATATGCAATGGAATCAGAACAACATAGGTTGGCTTAAAGCATTCATGCCCTCGGAGTTTTATTTATGTAAGAATCAGCGTAATTTGCCATAGAAAATATGCATGTGTTTCTATTTACAGAAACACGGATGTCCTTTTCCAGTACTAGATTCATTTTAGCCAATGTGGAGTATATCTGATGGGCTAATAAGCAAGATCTTCGTGGGCTTTGGGAGACTGATAGAACTTCTCTGATACAGCAGTTTTTGTGTAGACTGCATAAAAACATAATCCTTTTCTTGTAAATAACTATGGGGATTGTGTACTCAGAATCATTCTCTTTTCAGTGATTTCAGATGTTTGGCTGATAAAATGAAATACTATTTAGCAATTTAAAAATAATCTGTTGGGCTTTTAGAATTCTCCATGATTAAATCAGGTTATGATATCACCAGGACCTTTAGGTATAGTGGGGACATAAAACCTAGTGCTTATGAGCATGGGTTCTTATGTCAGACATTTTGAGTTTGAATTTTGGTGCTACCATTCACTGTGTTCTCTCAGGGAGTATACATTCTGTACACATTCTGTGTCAGTGCCTATCTTCCCCATATGTAAAATGGGTTCCTTTTGTGTGAATTCTTATAAGATTTAATAGATTATGAATGCAAAAACACTTAGAAAAGGTCAAAAGTTAGTTAGAAAGCACTTAAAAATATAAACTATTACTTGTGATGTTCAACATGTTTTAGCAAATATTATGTTTGAAAAATATTTTTTATTTATGCATATAAGAAGTGGACTATAGGCCAGAGGTGTGTGTGTGGGGGGGGGGGTGAGAGGATTCACCAGAGACAGAGTGGGGAGCAGAACAGGAAGACTAGCTGAAATACACTGCTGAGGGGAACAGCAGGCAAGTCAGGAGAGGTCTGCTGTGCCATGTGGGTCAGCTCCCTGGCAGGGGATCAAACTCATGTGGCAGAGGCTCATGATAGCTTGATAGCATTGAGACTTTAACCCCTGCACCACCCTTAGCAAATATTCTAAAGCATCTACTATATACAAAAGTTAGGAAATCCTGGAAAATACAAAAATAATAAAGACTCAATAGATTTCTGGTTTCTACTCTGGCATGCAAGAAGCATAGAGGTAACCACTCTATCCTAACATGTAAAAAACTGGACACACTGAAAAAATCATCAACTCTTCTTAGATCTGTGAGTGACGTGTGATCTGTGAGTGACGTAAGATCACAGAGTAAACTACTTCCCCACAAATTGTAGAGATAAGTAGATACAGAAAATCACAATTTATCTGAGCACAAGCCTCTTCAGGAGCCAGTGCTGGGGTAGGAAAACTTGCAGTGTCATTTGTCAATCACTGGTGGTTCAATATACATAAGTGTGAGAGGTGGAAACTCTAAGGGGACCCAGTCATAAGAGAGTCACCACAATTTTGTGAGTTTTATTTCCAGGAACTATGAATATTAGAGAAAAATCCCCTCTTGCAGGGAGGATTTGAACCAAGTTGGTATGGTCAGGAGGGTGTAGTAACAATTTTGAAATATGCCAGAACATTCTGTTTTTCTTAACAAGGCTTGCCCTGAAGAAACTCTTTTACTAGACACTTAGTTGCTAGGGTTTGATCAGAGACTGACCTCCCTGAAGAAGGGAGATCTCCAGCCTTCCATGTGAAGAGAGGAAATACATAATTCCAGTTTCTATTAGCAGATTGAACAAGACTGAGGGATAAATCTCTGAACTTGAGGATATGATGATAGGAAGTTCCAAAACTGCAAAGCAAGAGGACAAACACTGAACTAAAACAGAATATCTAAAAACTATCAGACAATTACAAAAGATTTAACATATGCATAATGACAATATCAGAAAGAAAAAAGAGATGGACAGAAGCATATCATTTGAAATGATAATGACTGAGATCTTTAGATATCCGTACTTGCCATGTATATTACTTTTTAAAATCACTGCTGGCTTCTTTTGCTAAGTATAATGTTTTCAATGTTTATTCATGTAGTGTGTATCAGTCCCTAGTTCCTTGTTAGTTTCACACAACAGTCCATTGTATGTTTATACCATATTTTATTCATTCATCCTTCCATTGAGGGGTGGTTAGCTTGTTGCACTTTATGGCTGTTGTGGATATTGCTGCTATAGGCATTCATGTACAAGTTTTCGTGTGGATATAAGTTTTCACTTCCATTGGGTATGTATGTTGGAGTGGAATTGTTGGATCATATGGTAAATCTATATTAAATATCTGAAGAACTTCCAATGTGGCTGCACCATTTTACAAATCCACCCATCATGGACAAGAGATCCAGTTAATCCAGATTCTTTTCTAAACTTATTTTCTTTTGGCATTTTGATTTTAAGCATCCTGATGAATGTGAACTACTATCCTATTGTGGTTTTCATGGACATGTCTAATGACTAATGATGCTGAGTGTCTTTCGATGTGGTCTTTGATACTTCCTTTTCTGTCTTCTTTGGAGAAATGTCTATCCAAATCCTTGTCCATTTATTAATTGTGTTGTCTTTTTGTGGTTGAGTGTAAGAATTCCTTATATAATCTAAATATACATTCCTCATCAGATATTTGATTTGCAGATATTTCCTCCTGTTCTGTGGATAATTTTTCATTTTCTTGGTGATGTCCACTGATGCTGAGAGGCTCACTTTGTGTTTTCTTTTGTCACTTATGCTTTTGTGTCATGTTTAAGAAACTGCGGCCTAACATAAAGTAATACAGATTTAGTTCTATATTTTTTCTTAAGAGTTACATAGTATTAGCTCTCACTTTTTGTTAATAGAAATTAATATACTGTAGGTGGATGCAACAGCATGAGGATTCTTAGGAACATAATTTTGAGTGAAATAAGCATGTTGCAGAGGAATGCATATATAAAGCCCAGAAACAATGTATTATTTTGAGATACATACATATGGGTTAAAACTTTTCCCAAAATCCAAAATCAAGGAAATTCTAAACAAACACTCCAGGTTAGCA